AGTGAAGCGACGCGGCACTGTTCATGTACATGTACATGAATACATGATGTCCCTTTCTTTTTCTCTCCCTATCTCCTTTCCCTCTCTGACAGCATCTTTCTTTTTTTTCCCTTTTTAGCTTGCCGTGGTTGGCTATCACCTGACCTCTCATGTTTATTGGCAGTCTTCGGACGGGCCAGGAGATGTTGAATAAATAAATAAATAAATAAATAAATAAATGAGTGTATCCCCTATGCCATGCTTGTGGTCCAAACACAGGCGCTAGGCGGCATGATGATTGTGTGACTTGCGGCCCAGCTTATTACACACATGTACATGTACATGTGTGTGAGCCGAGTACAATCATGCGATAAATAGAACAAATATATAAATTTTGATGCCAACATAATAGTTACGTATAACAATCATGTTCGGGGTTTTTTCTACCAGCTACCACGCCTTTGCCTGCTGAGTAATAATAATTCTGTGGATCTTGTATATTCAGAATTCAAGCATTATCAGTGCTTTTTTGGAGCAGAATGCGAGTATATTGAAAAGCAGAATCCATCAAATTCTCCAGCATTATCCGGCGGGACCTAATTGGTGCATTCAGTCGTACTTCGGAGGTAGGAGAATGGTGTCCGTGCACAGTGTGATTGGTCTTCGGTTGAACCCAGGGAGTCGTAAAATACCGGGAGGCGACACGAGATGCACAACCGCGTCGGATGATTGACTCAGCTCGGGCACGAGTGCTGAGGGAAAAATATAGAATCCCCATGAGGTCAAAGCGGCGCAGGTCATGCACAAAGGACGCGTTCGCTGTTTGGTCCCAAAAATCAAAAAAATAATCCTGCTCCCAAGGAATCGTCCGAGTGTCAGCAGTTGATTTGGTGATTCTAAGTTTGTGCCTTGGCGGGGTAAAGGATGATGGAGCTTGACAGAGATGCCTGCCAAAGTGATGAGTCCACCGTGGAAGATGTAGATGACGCCACGTATCCACTTGGTGACCTGAGTTGTGGAGATCTTCAGCTGTGGACTACTGGTGAGATTCTCTCGTCTGCATTTTTTGGTCTCGTCTTGTCCTTGTGAACACGAATGTATAATCTGTAGCATACTAAGCGCCCCAAACTCACCCAAAAAATGGGAGTCTGCCCACGGTGCATTGTCTGTTCACTATGACATGTGACAGTGTTGACACTGTGACAGGATATTATTTTATTCATGTCCTGAAAATTACGTGTGTACCTAGTATGTAAATTGTTGACATTATAATTATGTAAACCTCCGCCCTCAACCCTTGCTTCGCCTATCCATGTAAGAGTGGCAGTGCCACCATGGTGTACAGGCCTATGGAAGGTGAAATAATCCATGGAATTTGCGAACTGCTGACAATGAGACAGGCGAGTGTTACTGAGGCGATGGAGTCATTCCTGCATGTTATCAGGACACGGTTACACAAGGCATCAGGTTTTGGAAATCTGCTACGCCAGGAAGTGTGCCAGCTGAAGGCATGCAATGGTGCTGGCATTTCGCAAGCATGGCAACAAGTGCTCTCCAGCATCTCAACAGCTTTTCCCAAAGTGAAGCTTTGTATTAGACACAATATGACACAGCTAAAAACAACTGAAGCAGTGACATGTGAATGTTGCACGAGCATGCGTGTGTGTGTGTATGTGTGTGTGTGTGTGTATATGTGTGCGGCTGTGCCAAAGCCTAGAGTGTTCATTTGCGGCTGTGGCAGGGACTTCCGTCGGCCCAATGATCTAACTCGCCACAAGAAATACTGCAACTCCTGATGCTATCATTGCATGGAGCAATGGGCATCCAAAGGTCCAAAGGTGTATGTGTGTTGTGCATTGGTGGTCGATTCACATGGCTTTGCCAGTTGTGTGGGTTATACAGTTATCTGATGCAAGTCTTGATCTGTCTCATTCAGATCTTGTTCGCTATCGTTGCTATAAGAGAAAATCTGTGGGTGCACATCCAGTGCATTTGCAGACTTGCGTTCTTCTCTTGCGACGGGCGTATGCATGGTATGTGTGTGCGTGCGTGTGTGTGTATGCTTCTGTGATAAGTGGATCAAGCAGTATACAGGGTATTTACGGGTATTTGCCTTGAGTGCATTTGCGGATAGTGTGACTTTCGTCGCAGAGAACTTTGCTCAGTCGGTCAGGCGACTCAGCCTTACGTTTCCTGAAGGCAATGTGTTCAGAACACAGTTACTTCAAGTATGAACAGCTATGAACAGTTAAGAAATGACAAATATTGTGTGTAGTTCATGGACCATAATGTGAAACACTTTGAATGCAGAAGAATGAGGATAGTGGCATCAAATGCTGCATAGATTCTGTTTGATATGCTACTTTTTTTCCCTTCCATGAAAAGGTGAGTGCATCATCGATCTTCATCTCGAAACTTGACACAAACCGAGAATGGAACTTGGACAACATGAAGGGGCCATGGGCATGGTGTGTTTAGTGGAGAACTATTCCGAAAACAGGGTGTCATTCGCACTTACTCAATTCAAATTTGAGTACATTTCGTGAATAACTTACCTTGACATTCCGTCGTCTCCAAAGCAGTGAACTTCCCAAAAAAAATAAAAGCCACGGCTCAACCTAAGGTAATGCGTAGTTCGTATCAGAAACAACCAGCTTTCGCTCTGGAGATCCAGAATAGGCCTCGACGCATAGCAAAAACAATTGAGAAAAAGAAGATGACGACGGCGTTTCAATCACGCATCAAATGTCGCGGGTCGAGTGCAGCAATCCTCGGATCGTGAAATGTGTGGCGTGTCGCCTCCTGGTATTTTGCGACTCCCTGGTTGAACCAATCTGTTATGAGTGTAGGTACCTGCTGCTTCATTACTCTGACTGAGTTGATCCAAGGCAAAATAGCTCATCCTGAGTGCATGGCTATTGTCCATGGCCAAGAATTGGTACACAAGTCGAAACATAAAGAAATATTTCAGATTCTGACCAGCATTTGTAGTGAATACGCAGGATTCTCGGTGATGGATAGAGTTTTTTCAAATGGTTTAAAAGTAGATGATGGTGATGAGATTCAGTGGTAAGATGCAGGTGAGAATATTTCTCAGTTAGCGGTGCTGAAGTTGTGGGTGGTAAGTGTTGAGGATCGATGCAGGTGAGAAAACGTAAATGGTCAGATTGCAGACTGGCAATAGGTGTTGGTGTGCGTGGAAGGTAGAATTGGCAAAAGTGACAAGTCATGGTCAATAGGGTAAGAGTTTCAGGTTGATGGCGTGCTGTTTCCACATGCAAGAGCTGCAATGTAAATGCAGGACTCGCACATCATGATGTGTTTGCGCCTTTGAGTTACAGTAATGTGATATCAGCACCAGAGCCAGCAATGGCCTTACACCGAGGAAGACAACATATCCAGTCGCCACATATTTCCAGGTTACTTGCCATACCACCAAGACAACAAGTACAAGTGGCGAGTGCAAAGTTGCGAAAGTTCGTGCGAAGTTCAAGTACTCGATCACTTCATGATGTAGAACAAAGGTTTGCACGCATTATATTATCATTTCCTTTACTGGCCTAACTTGCTTTTAATACTTCATTACCCACTCTACTCAGTATCATTACCCACTCTACTCAGTATCATTACCCACTCTACTCAGTATCATTACCCACTCTACTCAGTATCATTACCCACTCTACTCAGTATCATTACCCACTCTACTCAGTATCATTACCCACTCTACTCAGTATCATTACCCACTCTACTCAGTATCATTACCCACTCTACTCAGTATCATTACCCACTCTACTCAGTATCATTACCCACTCTACTCAGTATCATTACCCACTCTACTCAGTATCATTACCCACTCTACTCAGTATCATTACCCACTCTACTCAGTATCATTACCCACTCTACTCAGTATCATTACCCACTCTACTCAGTATCATTACCCACTCTACTCAGTATCATTACCCACTCTACTCAGTATCATTACCCACTCTACTCAGTATCATTACCCACTCTACTCAGTATCATTACCCACTCTACTCAGTATCATTACCCACTCTACTCAGTATCATTAACCACTCTACTCAGTATCATTACCCACTCTACTCAGTATCATTACCCACTCTACTCAGTATCATTACCCACTCTACTCAGTATCATTACCCACTCTACTCAGTATCATTACCCACTCTACTCAGTATCATTACCCACTCTACTCAGTATCATTACCCACTCTACTCAGTATCATTACCTTCATTGGCCTTTTATACTTTATTCTCCTTTTTAGTCGATATCATGTAATTAGGCAAATTTGCCTGTTTGTTCTTCGACTCTAAATAAACAAACAAACAAACAAAACAAAAACATTAATTTTTCGTTTTTCAGAACCTCTCTAATCTAACTTAACGTTATGTCGAGAGTAGAACCTCAACTCTTCAGGTAGACAACTGCACAGATTGGCAGATAACCATGCATGTGAGTGCTGCTATATTATCCTAAAACAGGAGATGCGTTCAGTGTGAATTATGGCAAGAAGCAACCGATCGACACCTCAAAGAGTATGATTATCATGATGGCTACCCCCCCCCCCTCTCTCTCTCCAAATAAAAAAAACTACACAATGCTGCAAAAGTACATGCACACCCACATTGCACACGTGAATCTCTATTCTACTTTCAATCACAGCCTCTCAATTTTAGCCCAGATTACCACTTCTCACCCGCCTTCAGCTGATGGCAGACTACTGCAGCACACCATCACCCTGACACACATATCCTTTCGTGCATTACTTGCCACATTTGCAACGTCTATCTTCCACGCACACGAACACCTAGGCTATTGCTAAACTACACACCTACACCCCTAACAATTATCCTTTCTCACCTGTATCTATCCACAGCACTCACCATGCTAAAATCCAGCACCACTAACTGAGAGACATTCCCACCTTCACCTCAACGTCGTTTCTCATCACCATCAACTTCCTATTAACTCGTACCACCACCCAGATTCCTGCATATTCACTGGCACCGTTGTTCAGAACCTCTCCAATTTGTTTCTGTTTCAACTTGTGAATTTTAGTCTTTGCCATGGACAATAGCAAAGAAGGCAGGATGAGTCATTTTACCTTTGATCAACTCAGTCAGAGTGGTGTAGCGTCAAACCCCTACGCTCACGACGCTTTGGTTCCACAAGACCAATCACGCGGCGCATCGACACCATTCTCCTACCTACAAAGTTTGGAGGCACCAAATCTTCAGCTTAAGGATCACGAGCCCTATGACAACTTGTTTGATGGATTAATTTTGCCCTCCTTGCCAGAAGTCTTTACGGGCATGGGCTCCAATGTGAACACACGACTCGTACATCATGATGCGTTTGCGCCTTTGGGTGATAGTAAGTTGACGGCAGCACCAGCGCCAGCAATGGCCTTACAGCCAAGACGACAGCATCTCCAGCCGCCAAATATTCCCGGCTTGCTTGACTTGCTACCAAGTCCACACGAACTCAGCCAGTCACTACCACAGAGTAACGTATTCGGAAAGCAGCAATCAATGAAAGAACCTGAAACCCCAGCGACAACATTCTCCTTCCACCAAGGTCAGGCGGCACCGATCCTTCCGCATAGCCTAATGCAGGATAACCAGCATAATTCCAACAGCTTCAGTGATGCAACACTCTTTCCGTTCCCGCCAGAAGTTTTTATAGGCGTCAGCTCATTTGGAAATATAGGATTCCCTCATGATGTGTTTGCGCCTACTGGTGACACGAATGCGATGGCAGTGCCAGGCCAAGGACGACAACATATTCCAAGTTTACCGGAAATGCCACCAAGTCGTCGTCACGACCTCAGTGAGCCACTTCCACAAAGCACCTTACTCGGGCAGCAGCCGTCAATGAAAGAACCCGATAACGCAGCGGCAGGATTCGCCTTAAACCCAGGTCCGGCGGAACCACTCCTTCAGCCTAACCTACTCAACGACTTGAGTGATGCAGCAATCCTTCCCTACCTGCCAAAAGTCTCTACCGCCATGTGCTCCGATGTAAATACAGGATTACATCAAGATGTGTTTGCGCCATCGCGTGGTAGCAGAGTGTTCCTATCACCATCACTAGCAAGGGGCCTGCAACAACAACGACAACAACAGCAAGATCACAAGCTGCCAGATATTCCCAGGTTACAGGTAATGCCACCATATCAACACGACTTCAGCGAGCCACTACCACAGAGTAACTTACTTGGACAGCAGCCGTCGAGTAAAGAACCTGCAAAATCTGCCAAAGCCAAACTAGTTTGCTCGGAAGGCAAAAAGAATTTCTCGCATCCGTCGGACTTCAAAAGACACATATCGGTGCACACTGGCGAGAGGCCATATCCTTGCATAGAGTGTGGAAAAACCTTCAAGAGGAAGTATAATCTAAATGTGCACAAGAGAACACACACAGGTGAGAGACCATATGAGTGCATAGAGTGTGGAAAAACCTTCCAGTGTAAGTGTCATCTAACTGTGCACAAGAGAACACACACAGGTGAGAGACCATATGAGTGCATAGAGTGTGGAAAAACCTTCCAGTGTAAGTGTCATCTAACTGTGCTCAAGAGAACACACACAGGTTACAAACCATATATGTGCACAATCCCGGGCTGTGAACAGGCATTCTCACAGTCCGGCAATCGCAACCTGCATGTGCTTCGCCACAAGGCGAATATCAAGAAGAAACACAAACCTGCCAGTGGATGCAACTAAACAGACACTGCTCCACTGGACCAGCATCTCCAGTTCAAACACGACAATGTCGGAAGGAGCACCAAATCAGAAGATAACAGCGCCAGGAAATGCCGTTATAGAGGTGTACGTTTTTGGAAACATGCTTCCTGTGTTGACGTGCACTGTGTGGAATTTGAGCAATAGAATGATCTGACAATTGTGTGCGTGTACATGTAGTATCGTGGCCTAAACTGCATTTGCTGCTGCACCCATCCTATCCTATTATATTGTTGTAGAACGATGTGTTGGTTTTCTGAATGATGAAATGACCCGTGTCTCTTGTCTCGCGTATAGTTTTAGTCGCATTTTTGGTGTGTGGAGTTTTGCTACAATGTTACCTTGTTGGTTTATGGCTTTTCTCTTTTGCTGTGTTTCCTGTTGCTGTTGTGTATGTGGAACGTTTTGGTCGTTTATTCAATGTATCCGTTTTGGATTTGTGAATTCAAATAAAGTAAACAAACAAAGAAACGGGGGAAGAGTGTGTTGTTCCCTACATGGGAGCTCACGGTTTTCCTGCCGACTTGAATTCTCACTACAAACAAACAACATCAAAATATATTTGTGGAATGTCAATAATGTCATCAAGGGGGGGGGAGGGGCAGGAGTTGTAGAACAATGTACTTCCTCTCTGTATGATACATAATAATATTACTGAGTCTTCAGTCTTGCCTTTTCAGTCTTCTTGTTCTCCCGTGGAAGTTGTTAAGAGTCGCGTTTGCAGTAAAACGACAACTGTCGCTGGAGAGGCCTTGGGAGTGTTGTGTGCAACCCACCACCTCGACCAGCATATACACCATCCAACACCCGGTGAAAACACGTTAGACTTAGTTCTCTCCGACTTCACTACCACAGTATCAACCAGCGTGACTGCTACCCTCAGCAGGTCCGACCATGCCATTTTGATATGCAACTTCAAAGCGGTTTCCGCACGCCGCGATCCAACAACCTCTCACAAGGTGTGGAAATACGACAGTGCTGACTGGAACAGACTTAGGGCATTTTACTGCGGTCACGACTGGCAGTCGATAATGTCAGACGATCCCACTCTGCTTCGCGAGCGATTGTATTTGTATTTGTATTTATATCATAATCTTATGGCACATCATGATGACGGCCAGTAAAACTGAGCCGATGGTGAAGGTCAACCACAGCAGTAAAACAGATAAAAGAATACAAATGAAAATTGCTGTACATTTCCACTGAAACATTATTATTATTATTATTATTATTATAGACAACACCTCATGGCATGAGAAGAAAATCAGCCAGTACGGGAGATGTGGGTGTTAACCAACCATGGTGAATAAAAGAAGAAAAGTAATGGTCAAGACGGAGAAGCATGGGAGGGACAGGTGATGGTGAATCTAGTGAGCAGATTTAAATGTGTCCAGGGTACTGGCACTGCGCGTAGTAGCGGGCAGCGCAAGCCAAGCAGAGTAAGCAACAAAGAGTGGAGAGCGTACAAGGGAGGACGTTTTAGCCAAGGGGAGGGCAACAGAGCATCTTGTCTGGGAGCCATCTGTGATTCGGAACCAGTTATACACGTTAAGAAGAGGAGGATGTAGAGCTAGTTTAAATTTGTGAGCAAAAGTGCAAATTAATTTTTGACGGTGGGTCGACAGTGGGCAAGCATTTGCAAGGACATACAGGGAAGCAGAAGGGTAGAGAGGGGGTAGACTAAACAGGATACGAAGAAGTTTTCTATGGTGGATTTCGAGATGCTCAGCGAGAACCGAGGACAAGCCACACCAGCTAACAGCAGCGTACATGAAAAGAGGCAGGATGTACAGTTTGTAAAACAAAATTTTACATTTGAAAGGAAGATGGAAACAATGGGGACGTATAACACCTAGGGCAGAGCTTGAACGGCTGCAAAGAGCATCAATATGGAAAGACCAAGAGAGACGATCATCAAGCATTATTCCCAGGTGTTTATGGTTGGAAACAACCTTTATGGGTTCTGGGAAATCAGGATGGTGTAAAAGTGACATGGATGAGATTGGGGGAAGGAACATTATTTCGGTTTTAGTCAGGTTGGGTCTAAGTCGCCATGTTTGCATCCAGCGTAGGACACTGCATATCTGAGCCGACACTCGAGGTACAAGAGCCGCTGAGGACGAGGATGCTGACAGTAGGGTTGTATCATCAGCAAATAACGAGACACCTGGGTCTATAGAGGGTAAATCATTTACGTATGCTACGAACAAAAGAGGTCCAAGTATGGAGCCTTGGGGAACTCCAGAAGACACTGGTAGAGGATCAGAGTTGATGGAGAGGGCAGAAACAAACTGTGATCGGCTACTCAGATAGGACTCCAGCCAGGACAGAGCAGGGCCAGACACACCAAAGACAATATGTAGCTTGGCAAGGAGGCCACGATGCCAGACAGTATCAAAGGCCTTTGCCAAGTCAAAGAAACAGAGAGCAATATGATGTCGAGCATCACGAAGGGTGGCAATGTCTTGTACTAGACGAGCTAGTTGGTCAGAGGTTGAGTCGTAGCGCCGAAAGCCAGATTGGGAAGGGCTAAGGCATGGTGAAATGTGGCAATACAACTGGTCGGAAAATACCTTTTCACATACTTTTGAAAGGGAGCAGAGAAGAGATATTAGACGATAGTTTGAGGCTTGTGATCGGGAGCCTTTACACTTGTAGATGGGCGTGACCTTAGCGATCTTCCAACGATCAGGAAATACGCCGGAGGAGTAGGAAAGGTTGAATATAAGGCACAGTGGGTACGCCAGAGATGGAGCCAGAACTTTGAGAACTTCATTTGGTAGGGCATCAGGACCAGGGCTTTTGTTGCTTTTTAGTCTTTTTAGGTAGCTGCGAACAGATGATGTGGTGGTATGTATAGAGCGCAGATCAGAAGACACAGTCGCAGAACGTTGCAGAGGTGGTATTGGAGAGGAATGGTCGTCTGGAATACCAGCTGATGTGAATTGCGTATTGAGAGTATTAGCTATAGACTTGGGGTCAGTCACCATCGAACCATTGGAAGCTAATAACGGTGGTATGTCTTGACGTGTACTAGTTGTCCTTTGAGTGCGAACAAAGGTATACAGGTTAGGCCTGGAAGAGGGGTGAGATAGGGTGGTAGTGAGCGAACGTAAATATGCTCGATACTTAGAACGTGACAATGACTTCACCAGATTGCGCTGTTTTTTTGTATAAAGAAATATTAGCATAGGTGGAGTACTTCTTACTTAAGCTATAGTAGTCGTATTTGAGTTTAATTGCACCTTGGAGATCTTTGTCGAGCCAAGGGATCTTGGGGTTACGGCTGGACTGACGAGGTTGGTGGCTGCCATGTTTGGGTGTAGCGGGTCTTGCTCCGTATTGTGGCACATAGAAGGAGAGCACGTCATCAAGAACTGTGGTGAACTTCTCCACAGCTTCATCAACAGTAGTGGAGGTGAATAAAAGATGCCAGTCACAGGCAAAAAGTGCAGAGTTGATGATTGACCAAGTGGAGGGTGTAACCTTGCGGAAGGCATGTCGCGGAGGGGTAGGAGTCTGAGAGCAGTTGTAAGAGGTGTTAGCAGTGGCAATGTTGTAGGCTAGCGTTGTAATGACTTGCAAATGATCCGATGCAGCAAGCGGGGCAGCATCGTCAACAGAGCGTACAGAGAGGGGGCGGTTCATAGCAAGCAAGTCCAGACAGGACAGTCTTCCATTCGGAGCGACACGGGTGGGGAAATTGACAAGCTGCTGGAGGCCAAAGCTAGAGAACACGTGTGATAGCTCCGTACCAGCACGCGATGTGGTGTCACCACTCCACCAGTCAGAATTGTGGGCATTGTAGTCACCGGTAAGAAAAACATCAAATAAAGAGAGGTCCAAGGAACACAGCGTGTCGGTAAGTATGTCGCAAAAGGAGGTGATATCAAGAAGGAATTGTGAAGGGGGGCGGTAATGCAAATGAGTAGCGGATTGGCCCGGAGACCTGTCGGTGCACCAAGCTCGAGCCATAAGGCCTCGCTTTGGGGAGAATCAAGGTCATGGCGACGGGTGCAATGTGGAAATGTCCCATCACGTATGAGAATGGCCACGCCACCATATCCACGTAGGTTTGATCTCAGGTTCTTATGTGTAGATCTGTCTTTACGGAAGCATGTGTAGCCTGGAACACTGAATGAAAGTGACGGGCTTAGCCAGGTTTCTGTTAAACATATTATGGTGGGCTTGTTGGCCTGACATATTGCGTACAATTCCGGAAGTTTGTTTGTTACAGAGCGACAGTTGATAGTTACAATGTTAATAGAATGTGCGTGGTCCGGGAGAAACGGGAAAGCATGAGCGCTCAACGGGGTGAAGACCGACATTAGTTTGTGGTAGGGGGCGTCGTGGAGCTGCTGTTGATTAGGAGTTTTAGTAGTTTGTCGTCCAGAATCAGGAAGGAATGGTGGTGCAAGTGGAATATGACCACTAGATATAGAAGAATATGTAACGCAATGAGGGGAAGGGTGTGATGAACTTGCGTGGGGCACAAAGGGTTGGGCAAGAGGATTTAGCTGTTGGCTAGGTGACCGAGGACCCATCACTTGCTAGCGGAGTCGGCATAGCGCCATTTGCGGACGGTGTGCGCAATGGTGTCGGGCCAGAATTCCTTGTCAAGCAGCGTTTGCTCAAACTCTTCCGCGACAGAAACGCGTGCATAGCAGGTACCAAAGTATTGGGTTTCGGCAATTGTGCATGCGTATACATCAACGCCCCTATCAGCGCACCAGGTGACAATGGACTGTGCCTTACTTCCAGGGCTAACATTCCCGACAAAGAAGGCACATCGCTTGGGAAAATGTGTGCCAGTGAGTGTGTTGGGGTTGGGGTTTTCTGTGGCCATTTTTCTGTAGACAGACACAACTTTGGATTTTGTTGCCCGGGCAATGGGATCGCTGTGGGCCGCTGATTTATTGCTCCTTCGCCGCTGTTCTTGCCAGTTGTTCTGATGGGGATCGCCTTCTGTGCTCCCAGCAGCACCCTGAGTACATGTGGGCTGTACTGGTGCACCACCGGCGCCTGCTGTTGTAAGTGCGCCCCCAGTTGTTGCATTTCTACCAGTGTGTACGGGTATGTTCCTGCGTTCCATGTGGTTGGTGTTAGGCCTCGGTCACACTACGGCAAAAATGCTGCGTCAGCGTCAGAATCATGAGCTTTTCCATGGCAACTGACGCAACGCGGGAAATTTGAGCGTCAGACGCTGCTGCGTCTG